GCAGTTTTCTGAAAGGGTAAAAAGAGGGTCGTGAAGATGGGATTCGGCGTAAGAGTTCGTTTCTTCGGAGATGATTTCCACTACAATTGGGCTAAAAAAGAGCTCAAAAAAGCCTAATTCTGATAGATCAAAGTATTAAGAGGATCCTGCTCAATTTTAAACGTAATTAGCCTCAAATTGAGGCAGTTCTGTTGGTAATAATGTAGGCAGTTCATTCGTACATTCTGACGCAGCTTTGATCACTGCCAAGGCCTGATCAACATCATTTCGATCGATCGCCACAGGGTCAATTCTTCGTCGTTTTGGCTGGTTATGAGCTTGTTCAGATCGGGGAGGTGAGTTTGACCTATATCTCAAAGGAATTTGAGTAACTCGTCGTGGTCGTAGCATAATTAGTTATAAGAAATTGAAAAGCGAAGCCAGCTGCGGAACGCTGCGTAGATCAAATGCGGCTTAAAAAAGCTTAATTTAGGCATTTTACGCTAATTGGCACATCAGGTACGGAGGGGATACTTGTAACAGAAATATAAATTCGCCAAGTTCACCTAAGTTTCAAGTTTGGGCAGCGGTCTCCTAGCGCTAGTCAAGCAGCACGTCATTTTAGCTCCCGATCCCAAAGCTGTTCACACCAAGTTCTGTCACTTTGCACTAATTGTAGCTAAGAAAGGACCCGAAAGAGCTCAAACTGAATCTGGTGATTGTTTGACAAATAATGATTTAGACGTGCTCCAGCACTCTGCCCTAGGTGCTGCGTCTGACGATACGTTCCGTTTTAGGATGTGTTGTCGTTGAGATGTGCTGTGTTGACTGAATTGAGGGTGTAGTGCAACTTTCTGCCACTAAAAACGTACTGCAAACCCCCTTTATTTCGCAGTAAACTCGTGGACGTACTCAAACAGAGTCCCGACAGGCTTAAAAAAATCATCCTTCTCTAGGAAACCTTCAGGAACATCCTGCAGGTATCCGCTATGATACAGGATTTGTGAGAGTGGTACCTCCATGATGGGGCGCGCTCCGCTGCTTGTATGATTCTCATGTGCAGGGGTGCCGTAGAAGGCCCCGAATTGGATTCGGGCATGCAACGTGGTTGTGAGTTCATCATGCCTGTTCGGAATCAGGACTGCTGAGGTCTCTCGCTTGACAAGGTCTATCGAAGTCTGATTCAGCAGGAGAAACGCCCGCGCAGAGGGGTGGGATTCCTTCAAATAGAGCCTTCTGCCTGTCAGCGGAAGACGGAGTTCTCCGACCACCGCAACTGTTCGCCACGCGCTATCACTCAGAAACGCATACACTCACAAATGCTGCAGTTAGCATTGCAACGCTGATTTATGATCTCCTTCTAGGTGATTCTATAGCTTGCCTCTTCTATGCGTATATATAGCGGTCATCCTACTCCTCAGGAGTTGAGATAGCAAGTCAATCAATCCATTCCATCTACTTTCTCTTGCTTACTAATCTAATCTGCACTGCTTCATGGCATACTTCTAACACTGCCGATCCAATGTGTCTGGCGACCGGTCATCCCAGCCAATAAATTCTCAGAATCGAAAATGTTGTACGCTTGAGGGGAAAGAGGTCCCTGGCAAAAGACCACCCCAACCCATTGTCCTTCCTCAAGAGAGATTGCGCCAGTGTCGAAATTTGGAGCGACAAGGACCAAGTAACAATGATGAGGATCTTGAAGTTCAGCCTCCCATGACTCTGAAGTTCTTAGAAATTGTGGTGCACACAGTAACATGCGACTTTGAATTGCCCGTATAGCCTCAACGTTTAGCACTGCGAACTTACGGATGAGAGCAAGCGGCAGCTGTTTGGGTAGCTGGAATACACGGTATTCAGGTGCACCCATGGGTGCGATAAGACAGAGCTTGGATAAGCTAGCGTTGATTATCAACGAAATAAAAAGGAGCACTTGTTATAAATCTGGAGCTTGAACAATCGACATCACAAGGACATCTTATAAGGCCCCTAACAAAAACCCGGTGCCACATTCTATATCATCTGTGTTAGAAGTATGCCATGAAGCAGTGCAGATTAGATTAGTAAGCAAGAGAAAGTAGATGGAATGGACTGATTGACTTGCTACCTCAACTCCTGAGGACGAGGATGACCGCTATATATACGCATAGACGTGGCCCCCCACCATCCCCCCCCCAACCACCCCCCCAATCAGCGTTGCAATGCTAACTGCAGCGTTTGGGAGTGTATGCGTTTCTGAGTGATAGCGCGTGGCGAACAGTTGCGGTGGTCGGAGAACTCCGTCTTCCGCTGACAATCTGAGACACACCGCCTAATAGGCAGTTCAATCCGGAGCTGTTTGTGGTTTCCCTAATTGGCTCCCTGTTCGGAGACTGCTGACCAATCAGAAAGCTGAGGATGCTGCATGACAACCACCAAAGTTCTGGGATCGATGTGAGAGATGAGTTGATCGAGATCGACACTGCAAGCGACCAGATAAGAGAAATTACTACTACTACGTATGTATCTTTGAGTCTGCCCGTAAGTGGTGATTGTGTCAGACACAAGCTGGTTTGCGGTCCTGCCAGAGCTGTGGTCATTTTGGTTCAATATATTGGTATAGTATAGTACTAGGACAAAAGTATCTGACCAACCCCACTTTCGTACCCCACCAACATTTAGGACCATCTTCATACAAATTACTATAGTAAGTTACCAACTTGATGGATTCTGATGAAAAACAGCTCAAAATGTTCAGAAACATCCAGAGATTAAGGCTAGGCTAATTTCCTAAATAGGTAGTCGATATTCAGAATCTGGTGTACTATTCTTTGGCCGTAATGACCGCATTCACTCGACTATCCATGCTCTTGATGAGATTGGCCACAGCTTCTTCTCCTATGGCATCCCAACCCTCATAAATTGCTCTAAACAGACGTTGATAATCCTCCTCTGATTTGCCTATATTAATTAGCTCTAGGTGGTGATCATTGATCCATTGCTTAAGTTGCGCCTAGAGGTGTTCAATTGGGTTGAGATCAGGACTATAAGCTGGCTATTCCATTAATTCTATGCCCTCCTCTTGAAGCTAATTGATAATCTTCTTTGCAGTATGGATTCAGGCATTATCTTACATGAATTTACGCTCTGGTTCGTACAGCCAAGGCATCTGCTTACAAAGCACTACTAGATAAGAGTTAGCAATGGGTGATCATTGATCCATTGCTTAAGTTGCGCCTAGAGGTGTTCAATTGGGTTGAGATCAGGACTATAAGCTGGCTATTCCATTAATTCTATGCCCTCCTCTTGAAGCTAATTGATAATCTTCTTTGCAGTATGGATTCAGGCATTATCTTACATGAATTTACGCTCTGGTTCGTACAGCCAAGGCATCTGCTTACAAAGCACTACTAGATAAGAGTTAGCAATGTATCCTGACTTTTCTGAATTAGAATCACACTCTAATAACATAATATCTAAATTGTTGAGAATGCATGCCGATCAGCAGACTATAGTCTACACTATTTGGCTGTACACGTACAGCCAAATATTGCCCGGTCAGGTTATTCCTAATCAGGTATAGTGCAGGATTTCATGTGCTGGTGGCACAGAATATACCACATGATCCATGCGCTAGCAGGATCTGCACTTGGTGTGCAGATGCACTGTGATCTCACTCTGCATGCAAGTTGTGACCGTTGATAGTGTCAATAGCTGTTCCTTATCCGTATACCCGATCAACAGGTTATGAGCCCGGTGCAGAACAGCTATAGACATCAACGGTGAGTAAAGGCCTAATTGAGATTACTGAGCGAGCTGCTACTCCTGTGGCAAGGTATAGTCGTATTATACTTAATTATAGAACGTAAGTGAGTTGAATATTCTAATCTTATCTTTCTTATAGACAAATAATTAGTATTAATCCTTATATATATATTTATACTTATTATGTCTAACTTACTGCTTACCTAAATCGTACCCTCTTCACAAGCAAACTGCCTATATAATTTTATTCTGTATATAAGAAGTGACTATTAATAGTGTTACGTAGTAACCTGGCTAAATGCCCCGAAGGGGTATTAGGGCAGGGCTTCGCGCGCCTTGGCGCCCTGCGCCTTATCCTTCTACCCCTCCATAGCTGTTAGATAGCCTCAACCACTCCTTCACCACGATCATAACAGCTATATCAGAGCTCTAGTGACCAGGTGATACCCTCTGTTGCTTCTATAGCAGCACCATACCCCCATTACGGAGATATCCCGTAATACCTCTCCACTCCCTTCCCGCTCTCTCTAATGACAGAACGCAAAGAGCCAGCCTTCTCAGCATAATCGAAAAACTCGAATCTTTGCCCTTCCTCCTCTCTCTGCTACCTGACAATCTATTACTCTCTCTTCTTACCCCTTTTCTCCTAGCTGTCTGCACGTACCTTTGTATAGCCTTACATAATCTATCTCTAGTCGAGACTAGACTAGAGAAAATTAAAGCCCTCATCTTAGGCATTAATCAGAAAGTTATCCCTGGTCCTGCGAGCTATGTACAAGCAATCTGTACCAGTCTCGTAGGCACTGTCATCTCTTGTGTGCCTGCTTAATTAGAACCTTCTTATACTGATAACCAAATTCTAGTCAAGGTCTCCTTAAAAGATGCTTACTTACTTAAACTCTTTTCCTCTAAATAGATTATAAAAAGGCTATAAATAAAAGGAAACAACTTTACTAATACTCCTAATATAATTATAGTTAAAAAGCTACTAAGTAATAACCTTATACTTTAGGCTAAAGACGCCTTAGCTAAGACATATCTATAATTAAATCTTAATTAGACTAATAAGATCTACTTATTAGCTAAGATTTATATCTAACCCTTTACTATACTTATTTATAGTATTAATATTACTAGAAAAGAAGGATATAACCTTAATCTTCTAGCTAGGAATATTAAGGCTAAGAATAAAAAGCTCTATCCTAGCCTCCTAATTAAAAGAGCCTCTTAGCTTAAGAGGCTTAATTAATTTAAGGCTTTCTCTTCTTTAATTATTAAGGTTATATACTTCTTATATATAAACTATATAATTTCTAAAGGGATTATCCTGTAATATAAGATTAAAATTATAAAGTTATTTAATAAGAAAAACTATATTATTTAATACTATAACTATTAAAAATATAATAGTTATACTAGCATCTTATATAAGAATAAGGTAAAATATAGATACTACAAACTAGGCTATAAAATATAAGACTATACTTCTTTATTTAACTTATAAGTTATTCGCAGGCACTATATTATATGCTTTAATAGAAATCATAAAGCGTAGTTATTCACCTGCCTAGCTCGGATTAAAGACACAAAACATGCTACTATTATAAGGAGCTAGAAACCGCTCTTTTACTCTTCTCCCTCTTTCTCCTTTCCTTCCCCTCCTCTCTTTATCTTCTTATCTATCCCTAGCTCTCAAACATCTAATTATAGCTGCCCTCTTAATTTAGGATCACTTACAGAATAGACTCTTATAGAAGGAGACAAAAAGAGAAAGATAGCCTGTCTTGTAGGCCACCTAGCTAAAGCGGCCACTATTAATATTAACTTTAAGGCAATTTACTTCTTTATCTTTCTGATTAAGACCTTGACTCCTTTTAGCTAACTATAGACCTTAGGTACTATACCCCTTAGCATATTATAGGCTATTAATATAATACCTGCCTATAAATTACAAGCGTTTTCTAAAGTAAACATAAAGAACCCTGATATTAAAGTTACTTACTCTTAACCCTTCTAATAATATATACTTTCTGAGTCCTTTAATATAATATTAATAAATCTAGACTAAAAGTTCTTGCCTCTTTCCTCTAAAACCCGGGAATTAATATATATAACGTGGTAGTAATCTAGAAACTATAGTATAATCCTGTTAATAATATTATCTATAACCTAACTAATAGCAGATTCTATCTAATTAATCTAAGAGCTAAGGAATTAAGAGTATACTACTATGTAAACAAGAGGATCTTAATAGATTTCTAAATAGAACTTTTTTACTTAGATGATCTAGTTATAGTTACCTTGTGAATCGTAAGTGACTCATATACAATTAATATTTATAACTATTATAACCTTCCTTCTACTTATTATAGTAACATTAAGAACCACAGCACGCTTAATACGCTCCCCTAGTGTTATAGCACAAAATGCCCTATAGCCTAGAGAGGCGTTAGGGCAGGGCATGGCATTAGCCAAGCATTGGCTGCGCACTAAATGCTCTACCAGTGCTATGCCGCATCCGGTCTTAGGGCTGAGGGCTAGGGCAGGCTTGGCGCCCTGCGCGTTATACCTCTATCCTCGCCTTCATAGCACTTAGATAGTCATTTATCACCATACTATTCGACATCAGTCATATAGTTGCCCTCCATAGCTTCTTCGTGACTCTCCACTATCTCTATAGCACCCCTATACCCTGTTGCACGGCCTTTTGTGTAACACCTAGGCCCTTAACATGCCAGGAGAGTATATCCTTCTAGGTGACTTTAATCTATATTACCTATTCTGGTATGGTCCTTCTTATCTGTATTAACATCTCCTTTTTAATATACTACTAAGTCACACACGTAATATAAGCGTCTCGCTTGCGCTCCTCTTTAAAACTATTACTAGAGATATTTACTTAGGATAATCTGCTTAAAGAACTACTATTAATCTTATCTTTCTTATAGACTCCCTACTAAATTAATTAATAAGTTATAAAATTATATCTAAACTAGAATAAGGATTAGATTACCTTCTAGTCTTAATAAAATAAGAATAGTAAATTGCCCCTAAATTATATTTTATTTATAAGTAAAGAGTATAAAAGGAGATAGATTAAAAAAAGTTCTTAGACTTATTAAATAG